GCCTCCAGGCCACGGCCCCGCCCCCGGGCGCCGGCCCCGCCCCAGCTCACGGTTGCCTGGGGAAGTGTCGTTGGGCCCCGTGCAGATGACCTTCTTGACCGGGTCGCCGTTGACCGTGGACTCCTCCTTGCACGTCCCGTCACTCATGGTGGGCTTCACGTACACGAAGGGCTCCTGGTGGATGGTCACGATCTGCGGAGGGAGAGGCCTCCGCTTAAGCCACACACAACTGACCACGGGACCCTGGAGCCCCGCGCGGGGACGCGCGCGTCCACCCCTGCCTCTGCCCCCAGGGCACCGACTCCTCCGCCCGCCCCAACGCGTCCAAGTGCCTTCTGGGCTGGAGGCTGGGCTCAGCAGCAGAGCTCCTGCCTAGCGGGTTCGAGCCCAGGACTGCCATAAAAGAAGAAAAAAGGCAAATGTACTTTTTTTTTTCCTTATGAGTTCTGCGGCTTGAACTCAGGGTCTGGGTGCTGTCCCTGATCATCTCTGTGTTCAAGGCTAGCTCTACCACTAAGCCACAGCGCTACTTCTGGCCTTTTCTGTGTATGTGGTACTGAGTATTCAAACCGAGGACTTCATACATGCTAGACAAGCACTCTACCACTGAGCCACCTTCCCAGCCCACAAATGTACTCTATCTGGCTTATATAACTGTAGCCCTTCTGTACATCACCTTTATAATAACAATAAAATATTTTTAAAAGGCCCAGCATCAGTGGTTCACACCTGTCATTCTAGCTATTCAGGAGTCTGAGTTCTGAGGATCACAATTCAAAGCCAGCCTGGGCAGGAAAGTCCATGAGGCTCTTATCTCCAATAAACACTAGAAAACCAGACATGGTGTTGTGGCTCAAGTGGTAGAGTGCTTGTCTGGAGCTGAAGAGCTGAGGGACAGCGCTCAAGCCCAGAGTTCAAGCCTTACAACTGACAAAAAAAAAAAAATTAAAAACACCAGCACTGGAGACTTAAGCCTGTAATTGTAGCTACTCAGAGGCTGAGCATTTAGGATGGCGGTTCAACACCAGACCAAGAAAAAAAGTTCATGAAACTCTTATCTCCAATAAACTACTTAGAAAAAGCTGGAAGTGGCACTGTGGCTCAAGTGGTAGGGCATTAGCCTTGAGCATAAAGAGGTTCAGTGCCCAGATCCTGAGTTCAACCCCTAGGACTGACAGTAGAAAAAGGAAAAGACCCCCCAAAATTATTAAGGAAAAACTTCCGGAAATACTGCTCCCTTCTTGTGGTCACCTGGCCAGGTCCTGGCTTTCACAGTACTTGAGCCTGTGGGTTTGTGCAGAGTGTCAGGCTCATGCTCTGCTGCTCAGGGAGGAGAAACTGCCCACCCCAGCAGGAGCCTGCCAGAGCCTGCTGCCCTGCCCTGAGAGCAGGGCATGCCCACTGGCAGCTCGCCAGCGCACCTGACTGTCCTCCACTGGCCTCGTGGCTCAGGCTCCACAGGAGAAGCCCGTGACCCTAACCCTTCTTTCTTGTCAGTACTTCTCTACATGCAAGCTTCAGCTCATCTCCCTTCCTGTCCTTCAGGACCTGCAGGTTGGTAGTGGAAGACCTGGAGATGCTGAAGTAGAGCTGGTCATAGGGAAGGCAGAGAGCATACAGGACGGGGCTACACAGAAGCACAGGGGCACACAGGCCTGGGCCATGATGGGCAGGGGCACAGAGCCTTCACCAGAGGTTGGCCGGGGGAGGACAAAGCCTTCACCTGGAGGTCTGCCGGGGGAGGACAGAGCTTCCACTGGCGAGGACTCAGGAAACAAAGACTGCTTTCTCCTAAGGGGCAATATGTCAGCTTATATGTCGGCAATATAGCTCAAGGGACAAGGGCACTGTGAGCCCTTGAAGGAGCTTATTTGCTTTTTAATTTTTCATTATCCTTCTTTCTTTCCTTCCTTCCTTCTTCCTGTCTGTCTGTCTTTCTTTTTTGGTCTATTGTGGGGCTTGAACTCTGGGCCTGGGCTCTGTCCATCAGCTCTTCAGCTCAAGGCTAGTGCTCTACCTCTTGAGCCACAGTGCTACTTCTGGTTTTCTGGTGGTTTATTGTAGATAAGGGTTTCATGGACTTTCTTGCATGGGCTGGCTTAGAACCGTGATCCTCAGATCTCAGACTCCTGAGTAGCTAGGATTACAGGCATGCGCCACCAGCCACCAGTGCTCGACTCCTTCCTTCCTTCCTTCCTTCCTTCCTTCCTTCCTTCCTTCCTTCCTTCCTTTCTTCCTTTCTTCCTTTTTCTCTTCTTTCTCTTTTTGTGCCAGTCCTGGTGCTTGAACTCAGGGACAGGGCACTGTCTCTGAGTTTCTCTTGCTCAAAGCTAGTGCTCTACCATTTGAGCTACAGCTCCACTTTTGGCTTTTTTTCTATTGCTCATAGGGCTTGAACTTGGAGTCTGGGCACTGTCCTTTAGCTCTTTTGCTCAAGATTATTGTTCTAACACTTTGAGCCACAGTACCATTTCTGGTTTTCTGGTGGTTAATTGGAGATAAGAGTCATGGGCTTTCCTGCCTTGGCTGGCTTTGAACCTGATTCCTCAGATCTCAGCCTCCTGAGTAGCGGGATTATAACTGTGAGCCACCAGCACTTTACAATCACTTCTGACTTTTTTGGTAGTTATTGGAAATAAGAATTTCATAGACGGGCCTGGGAAGGTGGCTCAGTGGTAGAGCACTTGCCTTGCATGCCTGAGGCCCTGAGTTTGATTCCTCAGCACCACATAAGCAAAAAGAAAAAAGCCGGAAGTGGCACTGTGGCTCAAGTGGTAGAGCACTAGCCTTGAGCTGAAGAGCTGAGGGACAGCGCCCAGGCCCAGAGTTCAGGCTCCACAACCAGGACCCCCCCCCCAAAAAAAGATCTTAGCCTCCTGAGTAGCTAGTATTACAGGCATGAGTAACTGGCGCCCAGCTTCATTATGTTTTTCTATTACACAAGTGATATATGGTAGCCCTTAGAGAAAATAGTGAGGCCAGAAATAAAGTAGTAAATAATATCTGGGCCTCATAGCCTTAACGGGGTCCTCAGGCCTTGGGTGTTTTGACTATACATTCAGACTTCAATACCAGGAACCTGACAGGCTAGGGGACACCACACTGGAGCTGGAAAAGCCCGTCTTATCACTGGGGAAGGACAGACGTACATAAAAGATGGCTTGGGGGTAGGGGAGGTGCGGAAGAATGAGATGTAGAGTGGCCACACGGGATCTTGGCCCTCTAAGGACTCTAAGGTCCTGAGGGGTGGCCTTAGGAGCTGGTCCCAGGCTCCAGGGTTGGACTCAGAAAGCAAACGGGGTTGAGACACATAAAGACCTGGGGACACTGGGCCCATGATACTTAAGGCTCTGCCATGGTGGTATGTGACACCGGCAGAGGTGCTGCGGTGTGGTCTGACTCCCCAAACAGCACCTAGAAGGACAGAGTTCATGGATGAGCCTGAAGAAGTGTGCAGTCAGAGTGAAGAAAAGAGACTAGACAGAGGAGGGGCTTCTGGAAGCCCATGGAAGAGATGGACCACCTGGAAAAGAAAGCTATGCAGAGGGCCAGGCCTCAGGGGAGCAATCTGATGCCAGGGCCACCTGTGTACTGCCAATGTACCGCCCCAGGCCCAGCTGGGCGGGACAGATGGGTGTGAGACCGTTGGGGGGGGGAGGTGCAGTTGCCTGCCTCCCCTCCCGCCTGCTTCCTCTGCTGCCAGGAGCCGGCCCAGCTCTCCCTACTTGGCTTCCTCTGGCCTCACTGCCCCTTGGCCTAGGCCTTAGGGAGGAAGTAGAGTGTCGGGTGGGGTGCTGCATTACTAGAGGGCCCCACCTTTAGCCTGGTAGACATCTGGTACCCCGGCGGCTTCTCCGTCTCTCCCCCTGGCCAGATGATCTTCCTGTCATTCGGGATGACCTGGGGGTGGGAGTATGAGATGGAGGGTGGCCACGCAGGGGTCTTGGCCCCAGGACCCTAAGGCCCCAGCCCCCACCCCCTCATGACCCCCACCTACATGGGTGCCATTGTAGATGCCCACTTGCACCAGTTTGCGATTCTGGAGGTTCATGATGCTGTAGTTGGCGAACTTCCGGTCCCCGTCCTCATTGAACTCCACGCGGCCAGTCACGCCCTCCGCGTACTTGGAAGACATAAGCACCCTGCAGGGGGCGTGGTGTAGACGTGAGGGGGCGTGGCATAGACATGGGGGCGTGGCTTCGACATGAGAAGGAGGGTGTAGATGTGAAGGGGGCGTGGTGCAGACCTGAGGGGGCGTGACAGGACAGGGGGTGTGGCGTAGACATGGGGGCGTGGTATAGACGTGAAGGGGCGTGGCATAGACATGGGGGCGTGGCTTCGACATGAGAAGGAGGGTGTAGATGTGAAGGGGGCGTGGTGCAGACCTGAGGGGGCGTGGCAAGACATGGGGTGTGGCGTAGACATGGGGGCGTGGTATAGACGTGAAGGGGCGGGATGTGGACATGGGGCACACGGCAGAGACCAGGCAGGGAGGCTCTTTCTCCACCTGCACACCCCCAGAAGCCCCAGCCACTCAAGAAAGGAAAGATGAGCAGATGGCAGACCCCGGGCTGAGCGGTGGACACGCTTAGCTGTGCCAGATGGACAGCACGACTACTAAGTGGACCCTGGGAGGCAGAGTCTGTGTCAAGGGCTTTCTCCTTGATCCTCACAGCAGCCATCCTGTTTGTTTGCTTTCTTATTTGTGTGTGTGTGTGTGTGTGTGTGTGTGTGTGTGTGTGCAACTGGGGCTTGTACTAGGTGCTGTCCCTGGGCTGGTGCTCTATCACCTGTTCCACTAAGGGCTTTCTGGTGGTTTATTCGAGATAAGAGTCTCAGGGACTTTCCTGTCTAGGCTGGCTACAAACCACAATCCTCAGATCTCAATCTCCTGAGTAACTAGGATTACAGGTGTAAGCCATTTGCCCAACTGACATTCACTTGCCAGTAATCAAGGGAAGCCGACCGAGCCTGACATCTGGTCTGACCACTAGGCGGTCTGGACTCGCTGTGTGTGTACCAGTGCTGTACTCATTGGGTTGTGTCAGGTCACCTGTATGGAGAGGCCCCGTACATGTGCGCAGTCTGTGTCAGGTTCCTCTTTGAGTTTCTGTACACATGGGTGTGTGTACATGTGCGCAGTCTGCTTCTGCACCAACGTGTGTTGTTATGGGTATCACCGACAGCAACTATTCTGCCTTGAGTGTCAGGAGGTATGAATTCACCCTAACTCTCTGTAACTGTTCTCTTAACTCTGGCTCTACAGGCTCAGAGATCCCACAGTCCGTCTGCCTCCTTGGCTGACCTCCTGAGCCCTCACAGGAGCTCCAGGCCCCGCCTGCAGCCAGAGCCTCCCCCGAGGGCCACGAGGCAGGCTGCAGCGTGGACTGGTGGGGACAGCAGAGCAGGGAGGCAGCCACAGGCTGACTGACGTTAGCTTTAGGAAAATGGGCGGTTTACCAAGCCACTGAGTCTGTAGGGTGCCTACCAGCCGGACCTGAGGCCCACCTGGCCAGAGCAGCCCCGCCCCCGAGAGGCCCCGCCCCGGGAGAGGGAGGCCCGCCCCTCGAGGCCCTGCCTATACCACAGCCCCGCCCCAGAGTGGCCCGCCCCTCTCCATCCCGACCACGCCCACACGCCAGCGACCACACCCACACACCAGTGTCCCAGCCGCAGAGAGGCCCGCCCCCTCGAGACCACGCCCGTCCAGGCCCCGCCCCGCGGCCCCGCCCACCTCACCTCTTGAACAGCGGCCCAGTCTTCCAGATGTTGGTGTTGCCCACGCAGCCCCTGGGCGGGTCCGTGATGTTCTCCTTCTCCAGCAGCTCATGCACCGCCTGGGCCACCACACCCACCGCGTCGCTGATGTGGGCCGATTCGTTCTTGCCGTTGATGAGCTGCAGTCCGATGATGCCTGCGCGAGCCTGCTGCTTAGGCCCTGGCCAGGCCCCCCCCCCCCGCCCCGCGCCCCAGCTCCGCGTGCGCCCTCCAGCCCGCACTCACCATCCGGGGCGTAGCGCAGGGCGTTCCCCGAGATCTCGCGCTCGCCCACCAGCCACACGTAGCCGGAGCCCGTCATGTTCAGCATCGCGGCCGCACGGTACACCGTGGCAGCGTCGTCCTCGCTGTGGGGCAGATGGAGGTGACGGGCCAGGACTCGGCCACCCTCCGCAGGCCCTGCGCGGGCCTCGGGCCTGCTCCCGGCCTCCCTGCGCGGGCCTCGGGCCTGCTCCCGGCCTCTCTCCGCGGGCCTCGGGCCTGCTCCCGGCCTCTCTCCGCGGGCCTCGGGCCTGCTCCCGGCCGTCCTGCGCCGGCGCAGGGATCGGACACGGGAGCCGGCCAGCCTTGGCCCCGCTGCGGCTGACGGGCCACGGGCTCAGCACCAGACAACGCTGGCCATGGCGGCCAGCGCCACCTTCCTTCCCAGGACAGCCCCCGCGCCAGAGGGAAACCGAGACACAGCTGGAAAGTGCTGACTCAGCCGTGTGCCTCAGTCCACCGCGGGCGGGTGGTAGGTGGACAGTCCACCCCGGTCGGGTGTGTAGGTGGACAGTCCACCCCGGTCGGGTGTGTAGGTGGACAGTCCACCCCGGGCGGGTGTGTAGGTGGAAAGTCCACCGCGGGCGGGTGTGTAGGTGGACAGTCCACCGCGGGCGGGTGTGTAGGTGGACAGTCCACCGCGGGCGGGTGTGTAGGTGAACAGTCCACCCCGTCGGGTGTGTAGGTGGACAGTCCACCGCGGTTGGCTATGTAGGTGGACAGTCCACCGTGGTCGGGTGTAGGTGGATAGTCCACCGTGGTCAGGTGTGTGTCTGGAAAGTCCACCGCGGGCGGGTGTGTAGGTGGACAGTCCACCGCAGTCGGGTGTGTCTGGGCAGTCCACTGCGGTCAGGTGTGTGTCTGGACAGTGTACACTGGTCAGGTGTGTAGGTGGACAGCCCACCATAGTCAGATATGTGGACAGTCCACCACAGTTGGGTGTGTCTGGAAAGTCCACCGTGGTTGGCTATGTAGGTGGACAGTCCACTGCGGTCAGGTGTGTAGGTGGACAGTCCACCGTGGTTGGGTGTGTGTCTGGACAGTCCACCACTGTTGGGTGTGTGTAGGACAGTCTACCGCGGGCGGGTGTGTAGGTGGACAGTCCACCGTGGTCAGGTTTGTAGGTGGACAGTCCACTGCGGTTGGGTGGGTGTAGGACAGTCCACCATGGTCGGGTTTGTAGGTGGACAGTCCACCGTGGTCAGGTGTGTGTCTGGACAGTCCACCGCGGTCGGGTGTGTAGGTGGACAGTCCACCCCAGTCGGGTGTGTGTCTGGACAGTCCACCGTGGTCGGGTGTGTGTCTGGACAGTCCACCGTGGTCGGGTGTGTAGATGGACAGTCCACTGCAGTCGAGTGTGTGTCTGGACAGTCCACTGTGGTCGGGTGTGTACGTGGACAGTCCACTGTGGTCGGGTGTGTAGATGGACAGTCCACCGAGGTCGGGTGTGTAGGTGGACAGTCCACTGTGGTCGAGTGTGTGTCTGGACAGTCCACCACCATCAGGTATGTCTGGAAAGTCCACCGTGGTCAGGTGTGTAGGTGGACAGTCCACCGCGGTCGGGTGTGTAGGTGGACAGTCCACTGCAGTCAGTATGTAGGTGGACAGTCCACCGCAGTCAGGTGTGTAGGTAGACAGTCCACCGTGGTCAGGTGTAGGTGGACAGTCCACCGCGGTCGGGTGTATAGGTGAACAGTCCACCGTGGTCGGGTGTGTAGGTGGACAGTCCACCGTGGTCGGGTGTGTAGGTGGACAGTCCACCGTGGTTGGTTGTGTAGGTGGACAGTCCACCGTGGTCGGGTGTGTAGGTGGACAGTCCACCGGGGTCAGGTGTGTAGGTGGACAGTCCGCCGTGGTCGGGTGTGTAGGTGGACAGTCCACTGTGGTCGGGTGTGTAGGTGGACAGTCCGCCGTGGTCGGGTGTGTAGGTGGACAGTCCACCACGGTCGGGTGTGTAGGTGGACAGTCCACTGCAGTCGGTATGTAGGTGGACAGTCAACCGCGGTCAGGGGTGTAGGTGGACAGTCCACCGTGGTCAGGTGTAGGTGGACAGTCCACTGTGGTCAGGTGTAGGTGGACAGTCCACTGTGATTGGCTGTGTGTCTAGAGAGCTCACCGTGGCCCTGTCTCTCCACAGTCCCTCTGTCCTCCATACTCAGAAGTGTGGAATGTCTGTGGGCAGCTCTCCGGATCCCTGGATCTCTTGGATGCTGTGACCAGAGCCCCAGAAGCTCCCTGAGCAGCGTGTAGAAGCTATTGGCTGAGGAGGGTCTGCCCTCACTTTGGGGTCTGCACAGGGGCAGTGTCCCCCCGATGCAGGAGGGAAGAGCACAGGCAGGCGTCACCTTGCAGGGCATGTGGTCCTGAGTCTGGGGGTGTCTTCATGGGAAGCTGCTGTGGGCAGTGAAGCCAGGGACCTGGTCCCATGGGACTTAGTCTCCCTGGTGGTGACAAGAGCCTGGGGGCCTGCGTGGGTTCCGGGAGCCCCTACGAGCCCTCCTCGACCCGTTGCACCCTGCCCTGCAGGCCGGGCCTGACCGCACACCGGCGCGGACCATGACTGGGCACTCTGCTTCCTCGGTGCGTGGGAAGTCGGGGTAGCCAGGCTGAACAGACTGCCTGAATTCGGAGCACTTTTATAATGGCTGCCTTCAGAACCTCACGTGACCCTGAGCTCTACTGGCCTGTTCCCAATTTTCTCAAGGACTAAAGAAGGGGAGCCATTGCTTTAAATGGCAATGCAGGTGTTCAGTGTGAGTCACACGAAGCAGCTTTGCTGTGGCTGCAGTGGCACTGCCTGGCAGGGAGCTGAGCTTGGTGGCAGTCAGTCAGAACCCAGCACTACTTGTGTCAAGGGACGACATGCTGTGCTGACGCCAGCAGAAGCCTGCCCCCACCCTCTTGAGGGTGTACCGGGTTGGAACTCAGGGCCTTCCACTTGCTAGGCAGGTGTGCAACCACTGGAAACACCACCAAGCCCCTTTTCTTTCAGTATTTGTAAAAGATGGTCTAGCTTGTTGGCCAGGGCGCTCAACCATGGCCCTTCAATTTCTGTTTCTTTGTTGGAAAGGAAGGTACAGACCACCACGTCCAAAGTTGGTCCTGCCGATTTGTATCCAGGCTAGCCTCAAACCACTATCCTCCCTATCTCTACCTCTCAAGTCACTAGGATTACAGAGATGAGCCCCAGCGCCTGGCTAACGCCAATCTTGTTGACGAAATTCAGATCTGTGACATGTCACTGAGTAGAATGCTTGTAACCAGTAGAATTGTAGACAAGAAGTCTGGTCAACCCATCTAACCTTAGACCATTTTATGGAAATAATAAAAACCATTAGAGATGTTTGGAAGAAAATAAAAATGAATGGCTTTGAAAATTAAGTCTACATGTTCTTTTGTTTTGTTTTGTTTTTTAGTCTTTCCTGGGAATTGAACTCTGGGCCTGGGCACAGTCCCTCAACTCTTCAGCTCAAGGCTAGAGCTCTACCTCTTGAGCCACAGCATCACTTCTGGCTTTTTTCTGCTTATTTGGTGCTGAGGAATCAAACCCAGGGCCTCATGCATGTGAGGCAAGCACCCTAGCACTGAGCCACCTTCCCAGCCTGCAGTCTCTATGTTCTGTGGAAAGTTGATTGTAAAATTGTGATCAGTTTGATGGAGTCTCAGCAAGGAGGAACTAAAATGTGGCACGTGGCTGTGGGGTTTAACTCAGTGGTGGAGCCCTTGTAGCGCATGCATGAGCTTTGTGGCTCTGCAGGTTTTACAGGCTTAAAAAGATGTGACAACACCTAGAACCAGCTAATCATGTCTTTATGAAGTAGCGTTTGCCTGCAGAAGATGAAGAGGATCAACACTTCAACCACTTTTAATGCAAGAAAAAAGAGGAACATAATGTGAACTATATTGTCCTCAGAATTAATTGTATAAAATGCTTAAGATTAAAAAATAATAGTATTCTTGGAAATATGAGCTGCGTTATGACTCAACAAATAATCTGGCTGATTGTGACCTGTTATACAAATGAAGTAATAAAAATTCAATTTTAATGCAAAAAAAAAAAAAAAGATGTGACAAGCCGGGCGCCGGTGGCTCACGCCTGTATCCTAGCTACTCAGGAGGCTGCAATCTGAGGATCTCGGTTCAAAGCCAGCCCAGGCAGGAAAGTCATGAGACTCTTATCTCCAATGAACCACTAGAAAACCGGAAGTGGTGCTGTGGATCAAGTGGTGGAGCACTCACCTTGAGCTGAAAAGCGCAGGGACAGAGCCCAGGCCCAGAGTTCAGTCCCCATGACCTCCCTCCCCCCCACCCCCCGCCTTCCCCCTTCAAAAAGATGTGACAAGCCCAGTGCCGGAGGCTGACGCTGGTAATCCCAGCTCCTCTCAGGAGGCTGATATTTGAAGATCAGAGTTCAAAGCTAGCCTGGACTTTCGAGACTATTTCCAATGAACCACCAGAACATCAGAAATGGAGCTGTGGCTCAAGTGGTAGAGCGCTCGCCTTGAGCTGAAGAGCTGAGGGACAGCGCCCAGGCCCAGAGTTCAAGCCCCACAACTGACAAAAAGAAAAAAGATGTGACAGTTTGAAATGCCCGGCCAGGAAGACATGGGAGGGCTGCTGTCTGGGGCTGGCCGCCCTGTGCTCCCAGGCTAGCCAGCCAGCCCTCTGGTGGGGATCCCGGCTGTCTGGAGGCCAGCACATGCGAGCAGTCAGCTCCAACAGACTAGGGCCCTTGCATACATTCAGGTGGGTGTGAGGGTGACAGATGCCTGCAGTGTGTGCGTGTGTGGGCCGTGGTGGGCTTATGATACATGGTGCACACACAGGACACACATGGATGTTGTGTGTATATATGCAGGCGTTCATGCCTGTGGGTCCCTGTAGGTGGTATACCTGTATGTGTCCATGTGCACTGTGTGTGTGTGTGTGTGAGGTATAGGTATGTAAGAGCTCTGAATATGGCTGAGCGTCAGTAGCTCACAACTGTAATCCTGTCTACTCAGGAGGCTGAGAGCTGAGGATCACAGTTTGAAGGCAGTCTAGGCAGAAAGTCTGTGAGACTCTTACATCCAATTAATCACCAAAAAAGCTGGAGGTGGAGCTGTGGCTCAAGTGGTAGAGAGTTAGACTTGGGCAGCACCCAAGCCCTGAGTTCAAGCCCCAGGACCAGCACACATACAAAAAAGAGATCGGAATTGGTTATGCACATGGGTATACATGTGTAATGTGTACACAGAAGTGTACATGTGTGCCATGTGCCCAGTGCATGTTGAGTCATGTGAGCATAGGTCATGTGAGTGTGTGTCAGTGAGTGTGTATACATGTGTGCTGTGTGCTTGATGCATGCTGAGTTATGTAAGGGTCATATGAGTGTGACATGTCATGTGCTGGTGCATGCTGAGTCTTGTGTGTGTATGAGTGACGTGTGATCAGTGCATGGTGAGTTATGTGAACATACATCATATGCACATGTGCACCATCTGGCCAATGCATGCTGAGACTTGTGGATGCAGGTCATGTGAGTGTGCACACATGTGTATCGTGTGCTCAGTGCATGCTGAGCCATGTGAACACAGGTTCGGTGAGTATGTACATGTGTGTCATGTGCTCAGTCATGGTGAGTCATGTGAGCACGGGTCATGCGTGTACATGTGTGCTGCATGCTTAGGGCATGGTGAGTCATGTGAGCATGGATCATGTCTGTGTACAAGAGTACTCAGTGTATGAAGAATCATGTGACCATGGTTAGTGTAAGTGTGTGTACATGTGTGCTATGTGCTTGGCGCATGGTGAGTCATGTGAACACAGGTCACATGTACATTTGTGCTGTGTGCTCAGTGCATGGTAAGCCATGGGAGCACGGATGTCTGTGTACATGTGTGCTGTGTACTCTGTTGAATCATGTGACCATGGTTAGTGTGTGTATATGTGTGTTATGTGTTTGGTGCATGGTGAGTCATGTGAAAATGGGTCATGTGAATGCATGTACATGTGTGCTGTGTTCTTAGTGCATGTTGAGTTGTGTGAACATAGGTCATGTGAGTGCATGTACACATGTGTCATGTGCTTGGTGCATAGGGAGTCATGTGAACACAGGTCACACAGGTAATTGTACATGTGCGCTGTGTGCTCAGTACATGGTAGGTCATGTGAACACGGATCATGTAAATACGTGTACTTGTGTGTGCTGTGTTCTTAGTGCATGTTGAGTTGTGTGAACATGGGTCATATGAGTGCATGTACACATGTTGTGTGCTTGGTGCATAGGGAGTCATATGAACACAGGTCATACAGGTAATTGAATATGTGCGCTGTGTCCTCAGTACATACTGAGTCATGTGAACATATTGAGTGTGCGTGTGTGTGTGTGCCCTGTGCTCAGTGCATGCTCAGTCACCGGTCATGTGAGTGTGCGTGCACATGTGCCGTGTGCGTGCACATGTGTCATGTGCTCGGTGAGTCGTGTGAACACAGGTCATGTGTGTGTTCACATGCCTACCACCACCATGCCCTTCCCCTCGGATGATCTTTCTCAGAGCTGTGTCTGGCAGGTCGGCCCTCACCCTGGGTTTGGTCTGAACATGTTGGACTCTTCACCCCTAGAAGGGGGAGTCCCTGGGGCTGGTCTGGGGCCCGGGGGGAGGTGGGGATGGCGTTCCCTGCTGGGGCATGTGCGTGTAAGTTCCATGGGTTGGATTCACATGTGCTCTCTGGCTCGTGTCCAGCCGGTTACGGTGTGTGGGGTGGGCAGGTCTGGCTTGGTTGCACCCTTGTCCACTGCCCAACTGCCCAACAGTTGAAGGGGTGTTTGGTTAATGGTTCCTGAGGTTGTCCTATCCAGGATGAAGCAGTCTCTGCGGATGGCTGGCTGCCTGTCCACGAGCACGCGGCATTGGTCAGATCTCCCTCATGTCCTGTGAGAGGAATCTGAAAATGAGAGGCCTTGCCTCCCTGGGGCTTCTGCTGGCCTGCTTGCGTTTCTAGACACCGTTGCAGTGTTCTCTACGGAGGCCCAGGCCTCTCTTAGGACGTGGGCGCTGAGGGCTGGGTTTGGCACTGGGTATGCAGGTGGGGGTGGTGATGGACACCTGCTGGCCCTGACCCCGGAGGCCCAGGGGAGCTGGGAGCCGCTCTGGGCGCCGCTCCTGGCTCCCTGCACTTGTGTAGTAAGGTGGCGGTGGCTGCTGTCACCATCGTCTGGTGAAAGCCAATCTTGCCTTCCGGCCTGGGGAGCCGTGGCTGAGCAGCCTCGCTCTGCGGCCTTGGCCAGAGGTTGCTGCCTGGATGTGGAAGCAGACGCTCGGCCGTGACTGAGCATCGCCAGTGCCCTCCCACCTGTAGGGTGGCGGCGGCTCTGGGCGCGCTCCTCTCGACCTGGCCAGCAGCCGTTCTTCACTGTGCTAGACTGGGTGGGGGCAGACAGTGGGGGCATCCACTGAGCCTCCTGCTGTCCCAAGGTGGGGCTGCCTCCTCCCCCAGCCCCCTATCCCCAGTCCCTGTGACCTAGCCCTTCCTCTCCGGGGCACTCACACTTTGCACACAGGGCACTGAGATCTTTACTGGGTAGCCGGGCGTCGGTGGCTCACGCCTGTCATCCTAGCTACTCAGGAGGCTGAGATCTGAGGATCACAGTTCAAAGCCAGCCTGGGCAAGAAAATCTGTGAGACTCTTATCTCCAAAAAACCCCAAAAAACTGGGGCTGGGAAGGTGGCTCAGTGGTAAGAGTGCTTACCTTGCATGCATGAGGCCCTGGGTTCGATTCCTCAGCACCACATAAGTAGAAAAAGCTGGAAGTGGCGCTGTGGCTCAAGTGGTAGAGCGCTAGCCTTGAGCTGAAGAGCTGAGGGACAGCGCCCAGGCCCAGAGTCCAAGCCCCACGACCAACAACAACAACAAAAAAGCACCAGAAAACCGGAAGTGGCGCTGAGGCTCAAATGGTAGAGTGCTTGCTTTGAGCAGACGAGCTCAGGGACAGTGCCAGGCCCATAGTTCAAGCCCCACAACTGACAAAAAAGAGAGAGATCTTTGCTGTGGGCTTTTCCCCAAGGCCATGGGGTGTAGGCCAGGCCCTGACCAGGGGAAGTCTGGTTTTCATGGGCCTCTAATTGGTCCTCCCTGGTGATGCTTTGGTTGGAAGGTGGCCTTGGTGCAGTCTGTCACCTTGCTGTGCCCCTCAGCTGCAGTCCTTGGGATGTTGGCATAGGCATGTTTCTTTGAGTCTGGGGTTTCCTGAGAGCAGAGTCTTCTCCATCTCCCTCTCCCAAAGCCTACGCCAGGGACCACGGAAGGGGTCTGGGCTGGGTGGACAGAGAAGGGGCATGTAGAGGTGGCCGGTGTGCTGGGTTGGGTGGCACAGTTTCCTTGGGGAAGGTGTTTGGGACCCTGAAGATCACCTGGTCCCACAGTGCGGCAGCCATGGCCGGGTGCGGGGCTGCAGCTCAGCACCTCCGGGTGACGTGGGGCTGGGCTCACTCGCTTACCTGGCGGAGAGAATGATGACGCGCGCCTCCAGCTCCCGCGCCTCCATCAGCAGAGCCGTCACGTTCTTGGTCCCCGGGTCAAACTGCAGAACCTTTTCAGCCTGTGGTGTGAGCAGGAGCATTAGCAGGGAGCAGGGGTGGGAGGACGCAGCGCCTCAGGGGCGCGAGTGTGGCTGAAGCCGCTGGGAACCCCGAGGCAGCGCAGCGAGCACTGCGCCGCGCCGCTCGCCGCCGCGCTGCCTGCCTTCCTCACTGCACAGGCCTGACCTCGCCTCCTGCCCTGTCTTCAGCCTGCCTGCTCTCCTGTACGTCCTCTCTCCTCTCTCTGCTTTCTCTAGAGCTTCCTTTCCATCTCCTTCCTGTCCTTGTTTTTGCACTGGGCATGCAAGCTGAGGTGGACCGAGACTCAGAAACAGACGTGCAGCGGACAAGAAATAGAAAAGTTTTGGAATGCAACCGGGAACGGAGACGGGGCCAATTGTTCCAAAACCTCGGGAGCTCCTCTCAGCTCCGGCCCCTCAAGGAGCAGCCCGGACCCTGGGGTGGCCAGGGGGCGGGCATCCTCCCTGGGTTTCCCAAGGAAACCCTGGTGGTCCCAGAGATTTGCATGCACTTCCCAGAGAGCAGCGCCTCCTGCGGCCGTGCCTGCCTCGGACGCAGGCCGGGGTTGGGGCGGTGGGCCGTGGGCACCCACACGCCCGCGCGGGCCTCTGCTGCCTGCTGCCGCCGCCTTGCAGCCTGCCCCTCCTCCGGCGGCGGAGGCAGCCGCGGGGCTTGCTAGGCGTGGGTGGCGTGCACGTCCATGCATATATACCTTGGGTCCGCGCTTGTTGTCATAGGACAGTTGGTCGAGGTTTTCATAGTTCCTTTTTTTACTCTGATGAATAATGCGCACAGAGAAAATATGCAGACACAGAAGAAGATTATAAACGGTTGAAAATGACGGCGCCAAAGCAATCACATCACCTCCTCGGCAGGTCTGCAGACGGGCTCGGACCTGGAGCTCGCAAACACCGAGGCCCGGGACTGGGTGGGGCCAGGTGGTGCTGAGGGGTGGGGTCACGGGGGAAAGGGGGTCCTGGTCCGCATCCACCCTCGAGGGTCCCACCTTCCCCCCACCCGTCATGCACCTGCTGTGTGGCCCCGCCCCCACCGGCCAGGCCCCTGGGCCCCCCCCCCGGGGCCCTGACCCCTGTCCCTCCTGCTCCCCCGGCTCCCCCTGCCTCTGGCAGCTGGGGTACCCTCTTCTCACTGATTGGAATGTGAGGCCTGCCAGCCCACATGTGCACCTGTGTGTGTGTGTGTGTGTGTGTGTGCACACATGCGTGTACCTTCAGGCACCTGCAGGGGGCGTTGGTCTGGGAAGAGATGGGGGCAGGGCATGTGAGTGCATGTGTCCAGGTGTGTTGGCAGGCGCTGGCAAGCAGGCATGCGGGGTGCACCCTGTGTGTCTGCGTGGACAGTGCACAAGTGTCTTGGAGTTGCGGTGCGCATGGATGTCCAGGGAGTCACTGAGCACTTACTGTGGGTGTGGGC